AATTGTGACCTAAAATATAATATATGTTCAATTAATGGGATATTTGTGACCGTAAATAAGTATTGTGACTTACAAATTTTGTAATTTGTGATCGATGAAAAAATTGTGACTTTTAAATTTTTAAGTTGTGACCGATGAACTAATTGTGACCTATGAAATTTTTGAATTGTGACCTAAAAAATTTCGAATTGTGACCAAATTGTATATATCTGTGACCGTTATATATTTATTAATAAAAAATATAATTAATTAAGTAATTCATTAATTAATTTAAATAAAAACCAGATTTTTGAAATTTAAAACATCTAACCTTAATTTTGAAATGATAATAAATAAAAACCTAATTTATGTAGACTTCCCTTCATTCAACTGATTGTGTAACAATTAATATTTACTCTTTTTTTTTTTAACCAATCCCATACACGTCCCTTCCGTTGAAATTTTCTCAAACCAAACCTTTTGAGGCATTTAGAGCTCAACCAAACGCTTCATTGATGTTTCTTCCAAGGTGATTTAGGCCCTGTCAGGGCGCCATAAATCTGAGGAAGAAATTGATTTTTTGCCTGTTGCAGCATGACATTTTTGATCCATTCTTTCAAGAGCGTGACCCACTGACCATTCCCAACGGAAATATTTTGGATTTTAATTTGAAAAGAAGCTGCACCAAACAGGTGCTTAATTCGCAACAAACTTATCATACTTTCTCTCCAATGTGATTAGAATTGTGGGCATTTTGAATTTGAGACAGTTGATATCAAATCTTGATGTCTCATACAAGTTACAATTTAAACACACTCTCTCTCTACATGCAACCCCTTTATTGGTCTCCACTTCTAATACTATCAGCAATAGCCGCCACCGTAAATGGGTGGTGCCCTCATGCCACCGCGTTATCATCAAATGAGTTATTTTTTTCTTGATTAAGGCCCCGTTCGGAAGGGATTAAAATCCAATTAAAATTGAAAATATGGCCGTTATTGGGTCCCACTCGTCTAATAAAAGTCAACAAAAACGGCTATATTTTCAATTTTAATCTGATTTTAATCCCTCCCAAATAAGCTCTAATATATAATATTGAGAAGAAAAGGAAAATATGATATTGAAAGATTATTTGACTTCTTAATTTAATATATATTTTCTCTTTTACGTATTTATTAGTGTTGAAAAAAGTGCATTTTTCGTTATAGGAGTAATTTTAGTTAAATATTTTGATAATAAAGAAAGAGATAGAATTTTGAGTTGATTAACCCTTGTTTGATTTTCCATTATTTTCAAAATACCTTTTTTTCCACTTTTATTTTCAACCATATACTCTTCAATAAAATAATATTACATGTAAATCTATAATTTTTTCTTATTTTTTTAATCGCACATTCTTCGTCAAAATACTATTCCAAAATGCATTTTGAACAAAAAATGAAGCTCAAACAGGCTCTTTAACTACCATTCATAGCTTAAAATTAATTGAAATATTTTTATAATGATAATCATAAATAATACTCCACGGAAAGATAAAATTATAAATATCGAAAAAATAATTTAGTTTGAAATCAAAAACACTATTAAAAACCTGATTGGGAGTTTTTCAGTTTCTACAAATGACTACATGTATTCTTCCAAACCCACAAATTTCAATTTTAGTCATTATCGATAATAATTTGTCAATCATCAAGGGTATTTTCTCTTTACTGTTTTCAGACCATTTTCGATTTTCAAAAATATTGAAAACACGTTTACTTACCTATTTTAGAAACGAATTTCCAAAAACAAGTTTAAAATTTACTAAAAAAAGAAAAAGCCAAAAAATCGTTTTGCATATTTTCAGTTAAAATCAAGCCAAAACTTCATTTTTTTTATTTTTGAAAATAATTTTTCAAAATGACAAAAAGAACGTGATTTGAGCGATTTGAAAATAGATACTCAAAACACAAAATTCAAAACTAAAACACGAAGAGAACAACCCCTAAACAACACATGTAGCACAATATGCAAGAAACAAGCTTAAAGGCAGCTTTTTCAACCTTTTTATGCTACAAATTACGAAATGCCAAAAAAGCATTGTATTAAAAACTGCTTTTAAAAACACACAAACATCCGTAGAAATCTAAGATTTAATATCAAAAAAAAAAAAAAGGGAGAAGCATAAGGAATTCCAAATAATATTTTGCTGAATTGCACAGGAAAATGCCGGTTTTCTTACTGAAGTTTTCGAAATTATTAAAAATATGCGATGCCAAAAATGGGCATCCCATCAGCTTTATGAAGATTACATTTCGTCTAAAGTAAATTCAATCTCTAAACAGCAGCAAATGTCCTATTTCGGCACATAAATGCCATCAACACCCAGTTTTGGCACCAGCAGCAATTTGCTTACAGAACCTTCGGATGACGCGCGCAAATGTGACCAATGAAAAATACTCGAACCTTTCTTACATAATGCCACAATTCTGTTGAGACTCCGACATTTCCGGAGACCTACAAGAACGAAAAATAATTTATCGTCGAATAGCAAGTATCATAGAGTAAAAAGTCATTGCATGACTATGAATGGCGCTCTTTAAGCAACGAAGGCTAGTATACTGATCTACCAAATGTTAAAGTTACTATTATAATCGAAAGTCACACATCTTCTAAGCCCATGTAAACTGATGATAATGTCACTAAGTTCCCACACAATTTGACGATAATGCCACTAATTTCCCAAGTAAATTGACGAAAATGTCGCTAAGTTATCTCCTACTCAAAAGCAATAATCTCACTTTCAGTCCTATTCAGACTAAGTCTATGTTCGGCTCATGTTTATAAACCTCCAAATCACTTTTTATCCACACATTTTTTGGGACCTACAAGTACTAGTTCCCTATCCACAACTTATTTTTATCTATTTATAAACAAAACCGTTTATAAACACTTCACAAACATGTAAATTTTTGTTCCATAGCATGCCCCTTGTCGACCATCTACGCCAAAAGACAAATAAAGGGCTT